TTTACTTTTAGACAATTTTAGCAAAATCAGTTTTAGCAGACAATTTTAGCAAAATCAGTTCTAGCAAAAATCAAATGTTGATTAGGACATGTTTCGATTGTTTTAGCGAAAGTAATCAATACTTTTATCTCGCAAAGAAATAAACATTATGGGAATGCATTCATCATTAAAATAAAATTAATTCTAACTTACCTACAGTTAAGTTGAGAAGAAAGAACAGGAATATTAAACATTTGCTGTTGGAACAAAATTTTAAAATAACTCCCATTTAAAATATTGTCTGAAATAAGTGTTCAGCCATTGACGTATCTGATATGCCTTTAACATCGAAATATTTGTATTTGCATTGACCTACTAGCTATCTTGACTTTTTAAAAAAAGTTATCAGCACATTCCATGGGTGCGATAGCAACTTAGAAGTCGAAACTGAGATAATGCAGTAAATAAAGCTATAGTTGCATTTTGCAATAAAAGGAGAAACATCAATAGCAATTTACATAAAAGGATAGTGAAATTATAGCTATTTTCGGCCATGATTATTTTGTAAAGTTTCTTTTGTATGTGAGGATTAGGAATCATTATGATACAATTTGGATTTTCGAGTAGATTTCATAACTGTTCGGTATCATGTAATTAAAAACATAATTTTTATTAATCAATTATATTAATTCTTATTTTACTCGAAAGATTGGAATAACAACTTAAGAGATAATTTTTTTTTAAAACGAGTTATAAACTTGAAAATATAAATAATATTTATTAAGGTATCCGACTACGTTCGGAACCGTGATTTTGCAAAAGCGCATAAATGGATAATTTTCTGATATAGAGTCACTTAGATTAGAATACATGTATAAAATTGTTTTAAGGACATTGTGACAAAAAATTATTTGAATACAATATTTCGGCTAAAAAAACTTCGAATAACTTTTTCTCATAATGTTCTCCTTTTGTGAAAAATGCTTCTATTATAGTAATATTTTGCCTGTCTATAGCTCAAACCTCTTTACAGAAGCTCAACTAGAATTTTTGTGTGATATATATATATAACTTAGAAGTGGGTTTATCCATATCTTACGACAACAGAGGGGAGCAATTTAAAGAAAAAAACGCCAATAATTATTTCAATTGGTGGTAACTGAAAATAATGGGAATTTTTTTAAATAATCTTTTTTGTAAAAATGTCCTTAAAATAATTTTATACATGTATTCTAATCCGAGTGACACTAAATATCATGAAAATTATTCATTTATGCGCTTTTTTAAAATCACGGCTTCGAACGTAGTCGGATACCTTAATATATCTAATTTAGCTCGGTGTTTTTGTTTTCTTATTTTCTGGTGAGAAATGTGTGTAGTTACTGTTATTGACATATGCTAGACACGGTACTTATATCTTTTTTTACAAATGTTACTTTATCAATGGTAATTGCAACATGTATTAATGACATTTACCATTGATATAGTAACGTGCATTTTTATAAGATATGAATTTTATCAATTTGAAATTTTAAAAAAATGTAATGTAAAAAGCTTTGTAAAATATTTTTTATAATGACAAGTTCATCAACTGAGATAAACATTTGAATTTGTATGTTTAATTATCGTGTACTGTAATCTTCGAAAAAAAATTAAATAAAATTTCGTCTTTGTGTCTCAGATAAGTAAACAATGTATTTCAGCTGCTTTTGTTATGTTCCACACACACACACACACACACACACAGTGTTTTATGGAAATGTACGCCGTGTTTTATACGGAAGTATGATGCGTAATTTTATCAATATCTATCAATGCAATTGTTAATACAGCTTAAGTTTTAACTTAAAAGCCACTCCTCGGGGGAAAAAATTGGAAACAGTTAATTTTGAAACTTTTTTTTCTAAAAAGGTAAAATATAAGAATCGCGCAAAAAAAAGGAAAGTTACATTGCTCAATTTTCTTCTTTCAATAAATCCTTCAATTTTTACTTTTCCTGGTTGCTTGATTTTAAAATAAATATATATGTAGCGCAAAATGCTAATAAACATGGCACAAAAAGTTAAGAAATACCTATTATTTTTGGTGAGCAGAATTAACTTGCAAATAATACAGTCGAACCTTCATATTACGAACTTCGACATTGCGAATTTTTCTATACAGCGAACTTTTTCCTGGAACCAAGAGCATTTCACGATTTTCTTCGTAAAATAACCTCCCAATAGGGAAGTGCATTTTCTATGTAACGAACTTTTTCTCTTGTGTTCAATTTTTTTCTCCCTATTTTTGAAGATTTATGGGCATTTCTTCTCTCTTTTAACACATTTTACGGTGGTCATAAATCTTGCACTTTAGTGCCTAACTCGTCGAGAGCAATAGAATTCTGGTAGTTTCATCTATGCAACCTTTAACCACCATTGTCCAGTTCACTAGAAACATCTTCCATATCCCCTTTCACCCTCAGTGGAGTTGTCTCTTGTTCTCGTGTCTTTGAACTAGTCCTTGAAAAATAAAACATCAATTTCTAGTTAGAAAATAATGTATGTTTAAAATTACTTGTATGCTTTAAATTAGAGAGAAAATGTCCTTAAAATTCATTAATTTTAATATAAAATTTTTCTAAATGTTGAAAATACAGTGTGTTTCTCGATATTCTTTTTTCTTGTTTTCCTTGTAGTTTTTCTTTCTTTCATTCTTTTTTTTTTTATGGTTAAGATATATAAAGTAAATAGATGTTAATTTACAAAGAGGTAGGAGAAATTTTTTTTTAATACATAGTGCTTATGAATTTAAAATTTGTTTTATGAGGTTTATAAAGTATTTTAAAAGATGAATCTCTATATAATGAATTTTTTTTCGGGATTTAGCGACTTCTTTATATAGAGAGGTCCGACTGTATTTTAGAATATTTGAATGAAAAGATATTTAAAAGAATATAGAATTATTTTTTGTATTAATTGAAAGCTTTTTTAATTAATTATCTATTTTTTAATATATAAATTAAAAACTGTTTTTTGCTTTTCATATTTTCTTTACCCTGTCAAAATTCTATGAAATATATTAGAATGATATTATTTCTCTCTAACTTCATTCATTTTTAACATTTATTAATTTTTATGAAATTTATAACTATAATCTGAAACCTTTACTTATTTGAAGAACAAAAAGGGAGTGTTTACT